GAGGATGTGTTAGAGCTTGGACCTAGGTAGGGAAACCTTAAATTAATATTAATTGGTTGAATATATCTTTCTCTAATCTTTAAAAATGAAAAAAGAGGCTAGGTGCCCGTAGCTCAGTGAGTAAGACGCTGGCCACATTAACACCGAAGCTAGCCAGTAGGAGCCCGGCTGGGCCTGCTAAACAACAATGGCAACTGCAACCAAAAAATAGCCAGGAGTTGTGGCAGGCACAACTGGGATTACATCCCAGCTACTCAGGAGGCTGAGGCAAGAGAATCACTTAAACCCAAGAGTTTGAGGTTGCTGTGAGCTGTGACTCATGGCACCCTACAGAGGGCTATATAGTAAGACTCTGTCTCAAAAAAAAAAAAAGAAGAAGAAGAAAGGTTTTAAAGTCACTTCAAAAATCAAAGAAAACCATTAAAGGATAATATAACCAGAAGATTTTTTTTTTGTTTGTATGTATGTACATATGTATTTTTTATTTATTTATTTTTTGGAGACAGAATCTCACTCTCTCACCCTTGGTAGAGTGCCATGGCATCATAGCCCACAGCAACCTCAGACTCTTGGGCTAAAGTAATTCTCTTGCCTCAGTCTCCTGAGTAGCTGGGATAACAGGCACTTGCCATAACACCTGGCTATTTATTTTTCTATTTTTTTTTTTAGAGACAGGGTCTCACTCTTGCTCAGGCTGGTCTCAAACCTGTGAACTCAGGCAATCCAACTGCCTCAGCCTCCCGGAATGCTAGGATTATAGGTATGAGCCACCATGCCCGGCTTTAATTTTTTATTTTTTTGAGACATAGTCTGACTCTGTAGCCCTGGGTAAAGTGTCGTGGCGTCATAGCTCACAGCAACCTCAAACTCCTGGGTACAATCAATCTTCTTAGATCGCCTTAGCCTCCCAAGTAGCTGAGATGATAGGCACTTGCCATGATGCCTGGCTAGTTTTTCTACTTTTTTGGTAGAGGCAGGGTCTTGCTCTTGCCCAGACTGGTTTCCAACTCTTCAGCTCAGGCAATCCACACACCTCAGCCTCCCAGAGTGCTAGGAATACAGACGTGAAGCACCACACATGGCCTCTTTTTTATTTTTTTATTCAGAGACAGAGTCTCATTCCGTCACCCAGATTGTAGTATAGTGCCTGGATCATAGTTCACTATAGCCTTGGTGCCAATGATTCTCCTGCTTCAGCCTTCAGAGCAGCTAGGGAAATAGGCAAGTCTCACCAAGTCAAGCTAATTTTTTTGTAGAGATATGGTCTCACTATGTTGCACAGGCTGGTCTAAACTACTGGGTTCAAGTAATTCTCCTGCCTTGGCCTCCCAAAGTGTTGGGATTAGAGGCATGAGCCACCACACCCAGTAACAGAAGATTTTATAACAAATAAGTAGCCACTAACAGGTTATAGTGACCATCCCGTAATTTAACATTAATATTCCAACTCTTTTTGGCATCCCAGCTCACAACAACCTCAAATTCTTGGGCTTAAGTGATTCTCTTGCTCAGCCTCCTAAGTAGCTGGGATTACAGGCACCTGCCACAACACCCAGCTGTTTTTTTGTTTCTGTTGTCATTGTTTAGCTGGCCCCGGCTGGGTTCGAACCCACCAGCCTGGGTGGGTGTACGTGGCCTGCACCCTACCCACTGAGCTATGGGTGCCACCCCCAACTTTTAAAACAAGATCAGAACATTAAAAGATTCACTATATCCCAGAATAATGTTCTCCTTCCTAACAGTCAAGTGATAGGATTTCCCTCTTCCCATCCAAAGCTAATCTCAGCACCTGTGCTCAAAATTCTACTTCCTCCTTTTTCTGGAGCCTCTTTACCAATTATCTACTTTCTCTGTCTTCACCTTCTCTAATAGGCTTTTTCCTCTTAGCATAAAACAACCCTTAAATATCTTCTATGTTAAACAAAAATTTCCCCTCTATTCTTATCTCCCTCTCTTTTTTTCCTCTCCTAGCAGGAGAGCCTTTAGAAAGTAAGTATAGTTATTTACTCAACGATACTTACTTTGTACTGATATCTCAACCCCCTTCAGACTATATTTCTATTCCCTTTGCTCCATGGAAGAGGTCCTGCTGAGGTCAACAATTGTCTCCTTTTGATCCCTGTTTCACTGGGCCTCTCAGGAGTATCTGACATATGGACTTCCCTTAGGTTCCATACCCCCATTCTATGCTGATATTCATCCTACTACAGTACTCTTTCCTTTCCTTCCTTTACAGGCTACCCTGTTCAGGCTACCCTACCTCATCCTGTATCTTAAGTAGAGTGTTCCACAGAGTTCTGCCTTAGTCCTCTTTTACTCTCACACTGAGTAATCATCTCCAATTCCTATGGCTTAAACTATCAGTGCACTTAATGATGCCTATGGTTGCCTTTTCTCTGTGACTCCTAATTTCCATTTTCCACTAATCAGTTAGCAAGTTAGTTAATTCACCAGCACCCTAGAGTAGGCTAAACTTTTAGGACTTCTTTAGCCTACCTCTGGTGATCATAATTTTTACCTGGTAACATTAGCCGACTGCATTCCGAGGCTTCAGTCACAGGGAGGAGGGACAAACAAGTAATGTCTTTTGCTTCTGATTCTACTAGCCCCTGTCCCAACGGGATGGATGTATTCTGAACAAACTGTACCAGGAGCTGGGTTGGGGGAAAAGACAACACTGAGAAAAACAGATTGTCAGGAATGGACCTAAGCTTCTGAATTCACCAAAAGGTGATAATTGACTATTTGCTAATCTCGACCATATTCAAAGAAAAACCAGATCAAATACAGTATTTAAAATTATCAAGTTCTCTATTCTAGAGAAAGGTTGATTATTTGTACAAAGTCATACACTACATAATGTTTCAGTCAGTAACAAACTATCTATATGAAGGTGGTCCCACTAATATTGTATTTTGTACTGCACTTTTTCTAAGTTCAGATATTAAACACATCTAAACAACACACAAATTCTATTGTGTTCCAACTATTCACAGTATTTAATACAGTAACATGCTTGTTGTACAGGATTGTAGCCTAGGAACAAGAGGCTGTATCCTGTAGCCTAAGTGTATAGTAGGCTATACCATCTAAGTTTGTCTAAGTACACTCTACACTTTATACAATGACGAAATTACGCAAAGACACATTTGTCAGAATGTATCCCTATTGTTAAGCAACATCTCACTGTAATCAGGTTAACCTTTGGCATCTTCTGTTTTGTCAAACAGAGAAATCATAAAAATAATACAGTCAATGGGCGGCACCTGTGGCTCAAAGGAGTAGCACGCCGGCCCCACATACCAGAGGTGGTGGGTTCAAACTTGGCCCTGGCCAAAAATTGAAAAAAAAAAAAAAAAAAAATACAGTCAAAACTGCTATAGGTGAACACCTAAGGGATTGTAACAAACTGGTCAACACATGGAAATGGCAACATAAAGAACTTCCATTGAGTACACACTGTGCACGTTCAGTCTATGAAAGTTAGGTCAACTTAAGGAGGTGGTCAATGTAGGGAGATGGTCAACTTTGAAGGTTCTACTTGTATTTTAAAAAGATAGCTACTTAAAAAAAAACTGACTACATTGTACTGATTACATTTTACAACACATTTTTATGTGTACTGGCTGATTTAACCCTCACATTAACCCTGTAAGATGGAACAGGTATTTTACAGATGAGGAATCAAGTTGAAGACATTAAGTGAATTGTTTAAGATCATGACTAGTTAAGAGCACTGCCAGTCTTCAAATTTAAGTAATTTGATTCCAAATTCAGTCATCTTTTCACTATGCAACACAGGTACACTACAAGTGAGAAAATGAAGAAAAATTAAAAAGAAATTAAATCCCTTTAAAATGTTCAGAAAGAAAATACTTTCAGATATATATAAAATTAATGAAGTTTGTGGTAGTATTTATATATGTATGTGATACGTATGTGTATATACATATATGAGATTTTATCACTATAAACTATTTTAAATCACAGACAAACTTTATGGACACCCTGTATAATTACCAAAATGTATAATTTTACACTTACTTAAAAACATCAACATTAAAAAACTCACAAAAGAGAAAAACAGAATTTTTTAATCTTTGAGAAAATACTAATAGAAAATAATAAACTAGTAGTTACAATCAAAACGTCTTGGCACAAAACCTAAAACAGGTTCTATCTGGTCCATTAGAGAAAAAGTTTGCTGACCCTTCAACTAAGGGTAAACTTAGAAATACAGCCCACCAAAAGAAAAGGAAACAAGGTGACTTGGGCTCACCTCTGGTTTGGATTCTAACTCATCTGATAACATTGATTCAGTTTCCAAATCCTGTAGCTGTTCAGGGGACAGGTTTAAATTTAATTCAGAGTCAATGATACCTTCCTGTTATGCTCATACTCCTTTAGGAAATACTACGTTCTTCCTGTAAGATGCTGTACTGGGTAAGTAATCAATGTAACCTAAAATGGTGGTAAAAAAAAGAGAGAGCATTAAGAGCAGCAAGAAAATGTAGCTAAACAAATGCACTTCTTTA